ATATCTGTAGGCTAGATTATTAGGAGAGTCAAGCTGCACAGGACTTCACACAGATACCATCTCCAGGAAGCAGCACCCATGGCATATTGGACTTCTGCTTCCCTCATTTCATCATAAAACCAGTCCCAGCACCAGGGACTCAGGCATGCGGGTTCTTCAAGCTCTGGAAACAGATGTCATTTTCAAGGAGGATCAGGAGACACTTCTTAAACCTGTTCCTCCAATTTAAAAAAGTTACTATTTTTTCAAGAGGGTGTGGGAGCAGAACAGCCCACAGACCTTTACTACAACCTTGTATTTCATTCTCAGTTTTGTAAAGACTAAATTTAGTGTCCAACTAGAAATTACATCAGCCCTAAATTTGATATTAGCATTGTGATGGCTAAGCTTCCATCTTGCTAGCAGCATCTTCAAGTGTTCACAGAGCTAAAAGTCACCTTTTTTTACCACCTCATCCATCTTCCTGGTATCAGGACTCCAACCCTGTGCTACCAGTCCCACGGGCCTTCTACTCCACGTTGTTCCTCATTCTAAACCACGTCCTTCCTCACAGGCTCATCAGCCTTCTCAGGCCTGCTCCCCTCCCATGTGCCAGTGTGACTAACAATCATCCAGCATTTGGCCATCTCTGGAATTCTCTGTGCTTTTAGCGACCTGCCTGTATCCAAGCTGTGCAGGTTCCTACCTGAGCACAGCTGCCTCCCCTATGTTCTGAATTTGATTGGGAAAGCCAGATTAACTTCCATAGCTTCAGCTAATAGACAGGATACTTGAGCCATTGCCAGTAAAGCAGCATTAAAACAGCACACAAACCTCCTTGGGATGCACGAGACTTGGTCTTTGACCCTTACTTTGATACCTGCTTAGGAACTTTACATCAACAAGTAACAGGATAGTATAAATGCATAAACCTTGCATAAGGACTGGCAGAGGTTGTGTGCATTGAACACAAGGTCTGGTGGGAGATGCTGGTTTCACCTAGACCTCCAGATGTCAGGATTCACCAGTGAGATCAGTCACCTGCAGTATGAGCCCCCAGATGCAACCTGAAACCAAGGACAGGCATTCTGTAGTGTTGCTATGTCTTTGCTTTTGCTATAACCATTGCAGTCAAATAGTTGCAGGTATTAGATTTAGCATCTTAGCTGAGATAGGAAGGAAAATGTGTAGCCTTACAAAATGAGTTCAGGTATGAATCTGTACAAGTCTTTTGAGATACAAAGCTGCTAACCATCTCCAGCCATAGAACATAGTGGGAAAAAATTAAAATCTGAAGTCAAAGGTCTGTGATCTTAAACCATAACCACCTCTGATGTTCCGTGTCATGAGGAGTATACGCCAGCTAAGCCTAAGTGAGAAGCCTAGAAGATACCTGTTTCAGGCCTAAGGTCCTTAACCTACAACTTTATGTAAATTTTTTCATGGATGTTCATTTTGTTGCTTTGTTGGGTTTTTTAGTACTTAGACCAGCAAGTCATATGATACCCTGATTTTTCACTCTGGCTCACTGAATACTGTTACTTATCTTGAATTTAATGGAGGACTTCTTTCTTCACAGTCTTCTGAAGTATCTTATTCTTACTACTTCTTCTCAAGTATGTACACTCTTCGGAAACTTATGACCAAATCACAGTTTAATATTTAGTTTAATTCAAAACAAAAGCTGAACTTCAGTCAACAACAAATGACTTGTCAGGAGAAAATCTAACTCTGAAGATGAAGCAATGATCAGAAAATAATTTACACGAAGCAAGATGAAAAAAAACCACATCCACATGTAAGAACAAATTTGTAGTGTATTTTATTTAATCAATGAAAATCTACCTTAAAAACACAAAATCAAATTTGGTAACCCAGTACATTGGATTAGAAAAAGCTTCAAGCTTCTAAGCACAAGCCAGAAGTCACAGTCTCAAATGAGAGTTTCAGAGGCCAAAGCAATTATGCTGGGACAAAGTAGTATCTTTATGTGGAGGCATGCTCCTTGCACCGTTAGTGTGGTTTCAAGTGCACTAGTTTTTAGCTGTCAGTTATAAGAAGCAGCTTTTGTATTTGTTTTATAGTTAAGTATGTTGCATTCCTTACCTAGGCCCTGGATTAATGTAGAAAACAGGCAAGTTTAAGCACCTGCCTGTCCAGTTATTACCAACATACAATTTACATTGTTGTAAAGCTAGCTTTATGTAAATGAGGTTCAGACAGGAATTAACTTTACATTATTATTAACAGCTTCAGAGCTACAAACGTAAGAATTGGGATTACACAGGTCATGCTATTGTTATTTCATTTTACCTGCTGCAGTTATTGCAATATGGCTTAACGTACATAGGTATACAATTTGTACAAGTTCAGCCAAGTTTGCACTTGTGAGGTGTTATTATGAGCATGACTAACTTTCAAGCCAACTTAAACCTGTGGAAACCAACCGAGGTTGTTGGAATTACCCAAAGCTAAGGGGGAAAGCTGCCACTAACAATGGACAGAGACAGACTGGATTGTTTGAAACCACATTGTTTGGCTTTAAATATTTATATAATTTGCTCTGAGGTAAGGAAAACTCTTTTGATGCTTCCACGCAGGGCAGCACCAGATGGTGCAATCACACCAGTGCAATCAGTCACATTGCTTGCTGTACGTGCAGCCCCAAGGAGAGGCAAGCACCTGCCATAACAAGAGCATTTGTACACTAAAAGTTGATTTTAAAATAAATTACTATACAGGTAGGATAGTGAGCTACTGTTCAACTTGATGGGCATCAGTTTCACAAAGTGCGATCTGTAACCTTCGCTTTAGACATCAGAGCTGAAAGTACGGACTTGTACCCCATGTTCGATTTTAATGTAAACAGAAGAGAGGACCAACTCCTGTTGGGTAAGTCCTGGGGCCTCTTTCCATCATTAAACCACCCTGCTCATTCTGGTATAAGCTTCTGTCAGTCTGAAGTGAACCCTAAGTGAAGGTTTTTAAGATCTCAGCACCCCAAAGGTCTCATCAACAATCCAAGGCAGAATTCATCACCAAGTTCTTACCCTTCTTCCTACTCCTCCCTCAGTGAGGACAGGGCATTGATGGGAGCTGGAAGGATTTCAGGAAATGCTGTAGTGGGAAAGAGGTTCAGGCAGGGGCTGAGAAAGGAGAAAACTGACATGCAGGTAGGATCTTAGATGGTGTAGGTTGTGAGTAAAGACTTGTGGTTGGATGGGGCAGTGACCAGAAATGAGCAGACTGGAATGAGAGGGTTGTGACTTGAAGGTTGTGGTACTACATGAGCAAGAGAGCAGGGAACTGGTAAGACTGACGGGTTCTCAAAGAACAGGGAGGACTACAAGTAGAAGTGGTTGGTGGATCTGACATAGGTCAGGCTCTCCTTTTGTCTTTAGAAATATCATAGTTCTACCTGAAAATCAGAACTGGGTTTAGGATACACATATAAATATTCAAAGCAAGACAGCTAAGTTTTTGAGAGATTTTACAAGGGGAAAAACCTGGAACAATAAATAGGAAACTACATGTTATCCATTTCCGCTCCAAGGGCATCCATTTCCTCCTGAGGCCACTCCACAAAATTCATTTGAGGGTATGCCTAAATAGTACAGAAGTATCATAGCTCTACATTAAAATCAGAACTGGGGTTAAGACATACATATAAATATTCAACACATTACAATCCAGTCCTGAGACCTGAAGTCTGGAACAACAGAAGAATGGTATTTTCAATCACCATTCAAACTACACCGTAATTTCTGACTAAATCAGGCCTGCACAAATACAACTGATGGATAGATGGATAGATACCTGAATGGGACTGAAAGGCAGCAACCTTAGGCATCTTGCTTGAGAATCTGTGTGATCCAGTTCCTGCCGTTTGATAAAAATATGTCTGCTACTCAGCCAGAAGTCTCAAGTGTTCCCACCAGTCAGCTCTCCTCTTCCCCCTCACACACAAGTTGAGCAGCATTTATGGCCACTCACAGGTCAAATCAAGGCAGCTACGGAAGGTGTGGGGGGTAAGGGAGACTGCAGAAAGAAGGTCGGTGGATTCAGGGATGAGTGAAGGGATTTAAGGAGATGGGACAGACAGGACACACGTTAAGTGAGGGGACAGAAATAACTGTGGCACGAATTTAAGTGTCTGTCCATTCACTCAGTTGTGCATCTCCAGTCTAAATGGTGTATTCTGGGTAGAGGCAAATAACTTTTGAATGGAATGCACAAGTGGATATAGCCAACATTAAAGGCATTGTTTCTTAGTAGAAATGACAAAAAAGGTGAGGTCTTCAAAGAGCAGATGTTAACATCCAAGAATAAAGGGTAGTGAATAAAGCTCCTGGTTCTGTCACAGGATTGTCAGATGTTCTCTAGGACTGGCATCTCTCCAAATGCCGTATGGATGTTTAGCACATCTGAAAGAGAGATGATGGTAAAAAAAGCTTCATTAATGACAACTCACTCTCTCAATTTGATTTTCCCAAGCAGTTCTCAAAAACAGAGATAAAGGTCTTAGTTAAGCAAATACAGTAAATATCCTAGGGAGAGACTGTACCTATCACTTCTGATTCACTGAAGTCCAAAGAGCTTGGCTACATGAGGCACTCCAGGTTTATAACCAAAGGCAATACTCATATCTTTTAGGATTTTAACTTCTGAGGATTAAATACTATACATTAAATACGTGCCATATGAATATGTATCTAGAAAAACTGGAACCACATTTTGTACCTCCAAGAAGTATCACCCTAAACTACAGGCCAGGTTAAAGGCCATTAAAGTGAGAGGAGCTGTACAGAAAATAAACAAGGTGCTGAATAGCCACAGAGGAATTGTAAATTGTTAAGAAAAAAAAAGATAGGAAAAAAAAAATCTGTAGTCTGTTGGTTAAACTAAGGAGCAGCTGCCTTTTAATAGAATTTAAAAAAACCAATAGAATATTACAAACTAAGTTTCAGAAACCGCCAAAACTAGGAAAAAGAAAGAAATCGCTGGCTAAAAATACTACTTACATTCAAGGCCTCAGAAGCCACTGCATTCTGACTTTGTGGACTATCACAAGATGCTTCGTCTTGGCAACCACCATCCTCCCATGTCTGTGTTTTCCCATCTTCCACTAGCAGCTGATGCTGCTCTTCCTCACTTTCTCTGCATGTTTGCTGATCCGTATGTTGGCCTGGGACTTCCATAATCCGCCCAACCTCTTTTTCCCTTAATATTGGTAGGTGTGTGTCTAGGGGGTCTTTGGTTGAATCTTCTGAAGCACTTAGTTCTAGTGTTGTTTTCTGAAGTCTCACACCTTCCTTTGAAATGTCTTCAGGGCTAGTCACAATTGTTAAAGAATTCTGACTCTGTCCATCTTGCAGCATCTCAGAAGTTAACAGCACATCTTTCATTTTTTCTACAATTGCATGAATTCCTGCAGACTCTGTTAAAGTAGCAGTTTTCACTATTCCTGATTGCTGGAGCTCTTGTTCTTTACTCTGCATCTCTTTCTGTTTTATTGGAAGTTGATGATCTATCTGTGTACTTTCCAGCAGCTCAGGTGTGTTTGCATCTGATGGGCTTTTCCCTATGGACTTCATGCGCTGCTCTGACTCAAAGGCAGCTGACTCTTCTGTCTCTGCAAGTTTGTCAACAGCTGTCTGGATGGCATTCAATACAATTTTTGTACTCTGGGACTCTATAGTCACATCCTTCTCAAATTCTATGTGGGTGGCAGACAGACTGTCACTTAGAGCAATACCATTTTGTTCATTTTGCCCTGTACTTTGGGGCCTTTCTGGTTCTTCTGATATTCCATTCATGGAAGCAGAAGTCACTTGAGGCTCAGGTGCTCCTGCACTTTGAAGCTCTGTAGTCCCACAGTCTGAATACTCAACAGTAGTAACTGGGACCTCTTCAGAAGTCATTTGCTCTGGTGTGGTTGCCAAGGGCTGTGCGGTTTCAGCTGTTTTGTCTGCAGGTGTTATGGTTTCTGCCATGACATGCTCTTCAACTGCTGCAGCTGCTACAAGCACAGGCGCTTTCAGACCCTCCAAGCTTTCAGCTTGTAGGAAGGCTGAGTCAGAGCCCTCCTCTTGCACAGTTAAAACTTCTTGTTGGACAGCAGATGAATATTCATCACCTCTCACAGCTTCATGATTTCCAGATTCAAATATGTCTTCAGCTCCTTCCAATGGCTGCTCATTTTTGTTTTCTTCTTTTTGAAAGTATTGACAGTTGGAAGTTTCTACCAGTTCTTGTTCTTTTTCTGCAGTCGCTTCTTCAACTAGGCTGCTTAGTGTTTCACATGCCTTAGGACTTATGTCAGTGAGGACAGTGCTTCCATTTTCAGTGATATCTGGGCTTGTTGATGCTAAATTAGATATGCTGTCTGCTTCAACCTGTGTGGGAGCCTCACTGATCACGGTATTGCTCTGTAAGTGTGTTTCAGTTTCGAGCAGAGCATCTTCCATTTTGCCACCTTGGGTTTCATCACTCTGGGAGGGGGTTTCAGTAGTTTTTTCTGCTCTTTGTGGCTGTAGCATAAGCACAGAATCTTTTGCTATAATCTGCCTGTCAGCCTCATCCCTCACACTCTGCTCAGCATCTGCAGCTGCTTCTGAGCCAATTGTTTCTGAAGGAAGGGCAGGGGTTTCTACCTCATTCTGCAGAGGAACCTCAGAAATAGCAATTTCTGTGCTTTTAACTCCATGAAGCACAGTGTCTTCTTCCTCTTCCTCTCTCTGGGCTGGTGCCCTGCTAGGAACTCCTTTAGCACAAGATTGCTCTTGTGAGTCTAAGTGAGGAATTTCATCTTGTCTTTCAGACTTAGCAAGAATCACAGTTTCAGCTGCTTCTGTGCACTCTGGTCCCACAGTGAGGATTTTGTCTTCTCTTGCAAGCTGCACAGACTCTTCAGCTGTAAGGCCCAAGGTAGAGGTTTCTCTTTCTGTCTTGTCCTGCACCTGTGGAGAATGGCAACAGACCTGTGAAAAACAGTATGAGCAGAAGTGACCAGAAATGTTCTGGGTGAAATAGCACCAGAAGGAACAACCAGGAAGAGGAGCAGTATAAGAAGAGCATGAGGTGATGACACTGAGATTAGTGAGTCGCCAAGATCCCAGCTCACGTTCAGTTTCTCAGGCCACAGAGCTCATTAAACAAATGGCAGCCTAAAGCAAAGGGTAACAAACAGCACTTGAAACAAAAACTAAACCAGGAAGATGGTGGGGAAGGAGGGGAAAAAAGTAGGAACTTAGTCACAATAGCTCCTGCACATTTAAAGCTGCAGACAGTGTGTAATTTATTTTCCTCCCATTGAAGAAGCATCTACTTATTTGTACCTACAAATTAACATATCATCTGCTACCTATGGTACCATATGGACCACATATGTATTGCATGTTTTCATGTAATACCTTCAGTCACATTCACTGTGCAGGAGCACTAATTGCAATTGTTTTGGCACCTTCTGATGTACATACACCATCTCCCACCCCATTTCTGCAGGAACTCAATCCACCTCACCCCATACAAGCCTCAGTGGCTGCTGCTTCTGGACATCTGTGTGTCTGTCTCACTGGAAACAAACTTCAGTTGCCTCAGGCTGCACAAAGGAGGCCATTGAATGTAATACTGCCACAACCTGGTTTAAAACTAGGTATAATATGTAACACTTGCTGATACTATTCTTTAACAGATGAACCTTTGTGTTGTATGTAATACTTACTGCAGCCTGCACTTCTGAAATACATTCATCTCTTGTCTCATCTACTGTCAAGTCTGTTGTGGGCAGCTTCTCTTGTTCTGAAGGCTCCTGCTTTGCCAACAGCTCTTCCTTGGGAGTGACTGCTTTGATTATGTTAAAGTCTCGTGATGAAGGTTCCTCTACTGTCCTCTGAGCTTCAGATATTTCTTCACGGTCTTCTATAACTGGTTCTTCACGTACCTTCCACTGACTTTCATCTCTTACAATACCCACGTTTTCACGTCCTTCTGTGCTTTCCTCCGTTGCAGCAAGTATTTCACTTCTCTCTGAACTTTCTTGTAGGACACTCTCTTCAACTCCGGCTTGGCCTTGAATGCTTCCTGCAACTCCCAGGGGCTGGAGGTCATCCTCCTTATGTTCTTTTTTCAATGACTGTTCAGGCAAAACAGTTTCCTGGACTAAAATTTCTCCTCCTTTAGCATCATCTTTCACTTCTGACCCAATTCCTTGCACTGTTGTAATTACAGTTGCCGTCGTGGTTCTGTCACTAACCAGCTGGGCTGTATCTACTGACTTTACTCTTTCAGCAACTTCGTGAAGAACTTGTTGTGTCTGTTTATCCAATTCTTTCAAGTTTTGTTCAGTGGCCTCTACTTCTTGGACAGGTGTAACTTCCTCTGTAGTATCTGGAGTTTCTATCAACTGTGAAACAGCAGAAACCATCTCAGTTGTCTCCTCAGCAAGGGACACTTCTATTGTTTCTTCAGCACCAGAAGCTTCTGCAGTCTCTTCCAGAGCTGTCACTGCTTCTGAGGTTGGCTCTAACTCACTTGCTGTGGTGTCATCACTTAAATCTTTTCTCGTGTCTGGCACTGTCTTAGCAGCCACCACTTCTTCTTCCACAATAACATCCGATCCAAACGTTTTCTCAGTTTCTTTCTCTTCCTCCTCTGTTGCTTGCTCAATGCACTCTGTCAGAGCAGCAGATATCCAAGATGGTGACCTTTCTTCAATACTAGTAACCGCCCTTTCCCCTTCCACAACAGTAACAGTAACTGCATGCACCAGCCCTTCATGCGCCTGCTCAATTCTTAGAGTCTCCTCTACTTTTTCTGCTCTCTCTTGCTCTGAGGCTTGCTCTCTCATCGCTTCAGTATTTTTTGCTTCTTGGGCTTCTATTTTATCCTGCTCTGCTGCTTCGTATTCAGATAAAGGAACAACAGCTGGAACATCTGAATCTTCTTCAGTTGTTTCTGCCATGTCTTCCCGTGCTTGTTTAAGATTAGTTGGTTCTAGCTTCCCATCTGACTTTTTCTTCCTCCGTCCAGTCATCAGTTTTCTAAATGGAACCCAAGACTCATCTTTTCCAGGCTCACCATCAGATGTTGAATGCTCCAGGCTAGATCCCGCAACAGAGTCTTCAGTTCTCTCTTCCATTCTGGTTTTGGATTTCCTTCTTGGAGTGACTAGCCTTTTAAATGATTCCCACGTTGAAATTCCTTCACCCTCAGATGGGCTTCCAGCTTGTTCTGGGGAAGAATTCCCTTGTCCCTGATCACTCTCCTGAGAGCTAGTAAGAAGTGCATCTGTTGTCGCTTCTTTGCTGTGTCCAGATTCTTCTACTTTTTGGCTTTCCTGACCAAGCTTGTGTTCAGTTTCTTCATCAGATGATGACGATTTCCTCGCTCTTTTCTTTGAAGAACCTACACATATAAAAGCTTCCCAGGACACAGAGGTGTCAACCTTTCTTTTGGGCTCTTCTGGGGCTTTCTCTGGTTTCTGGTCAATTCCATTTTCTTTTAATTCTCCCTGATTTTCATCAACAGTGTTTTCAGTTGCAGTCACGGAAGCACTCTTTGTCTTATCAACTTCTTCTTCTTTATCACTTTCAGAAGGTCTTCTGACACGTTTCTTGGGAGTTACCATCTTTTTAAATGATGCCCAGGGTGTAACACTTTCTCTTTTTCGCTCCACATCTGAAACTGCAGAATCTTCATTTTCAGTGACCTGTACTCCATCTACAGATTTTTCTAAAGAAGGAATTTCATTTGTCTCCTCAGGAGAAGAAGCAGAACTCTCCCCCTTTTGTTCCTCTGGGCTATCTGGGGAATCTGATAAGTGCTGAATGGGTTCTCCCTGTTCTCCTAACTTAGATTCTTCTCTTTTGCCTTTATGCTTCTTTCCAGACAGTTTTTTTAATCCAGTACCTGTAAAGAGCTTCTTTAAAGGGCTGCCTTGTATTTTAGTTTTTTCTTGAGAAGACAGTAGTTCAGCTTCATTTGTGATACCTTCTGGAGGCCTCTTTCCAGCTGCTTCTTCAGGAGCTATTTCTGAGGTTACTTCATCTGCTTTGACAGGCTCAGTTGTAACTATGCCAGTTTTTCCCTGTAGACTTGCATCAATGGGCTTGATTGACTGCTGATCATCCTCTGTGTCAACTGAACGTTCAGTCTCATGTTCTTCACTTTCTTTCTTCTCTGTGGTTTTATCTTGAGCTTCTCCTTGTGTGTCTAACTTTCCACTGATGCCTTCTGATGTAGGTGAAATTTTCAATTCTGCTTCCTCTGTTTTTTCATCAAATACTTCTTTCGCCAGTGGAGCAGGTTTACTTTCTTCCCTTCCTTCAGATTTTTTAAGCTGTTCACCAGAAATTTTAATTGCCAAAGATCCTGCTTCAAGTTTCTCTTCAGAGGATATTTCAGCTCTCTCCTGTATTTCATGCTTGACTCCAAGTGACTCTGTTTCTTCTACCTCAGGTAGTTCTGAGGATGTTTCCAATTCTCCATTCACACTAGCATTGATAACAGGTACCACAGACTCTGCTTTTAGCGGTTTCTCTGTCACCTCACTTTCTTTCTCTTCAGTTTTTCCTTCCTTTTTACCAAGATCTTCTGACACTTCCAACAGTTTCCTTTCTTCATTATCATCTTCAGATTTTTTCTCCTTCACACTTTCTTTAACAGCTGCTGCCTCTACACCCTCTTTTTGTCCCTGATCACCATGCTTGATTAGCTCTTCCTTCTCACATCCTTCAACTCCTATGGCTGCCACAATCTTTTTTGGTGCTTGTTTTTCACCTTCAGTTTGCTCCTTCTCATGCACTTCAATAGTTACTGCCGTCACATTCTTCTCTTCACCTTGCTTCTCAAACTCAGATTTCTCCTCCTTTTCACTGGTTTCAGTTTTTAATGTTGCTCCCTCTTTTTCTTGCTCCTCTTCTTTTGTAGGAGACTGTAGTTCATCTTCCTTAGGCTTTCTAAAGCTCTTCTTTTTTCTAAACCCAGTCCATCCCTGAGTAAAAAATTTTCTTAAGGGTGATGCAGTATCAGTGGCTAAGGCAGCTGACTGAGAACAAATCTCATTTGCTTCTGGTGTTTTAGGAGATTCATCTTCCGTTTTTTCATTTTTCAGTGTGTCTTTGGTGTTATCTTCTGCAGAGCGTGCATCCTCAGGCACTGCTGTTTCTTCTGAGCTGACTTCTTTTTGATCATCAGCTCCTTCAAGGACTTCTGTTTCTTTTTTTACGGTAAGGAGTTGAACTGGCTCCGATTTTCCTGTCTTTTCCTTCTTTACTGTGAATCTGAATCCAACAAATTTAAAAACCTTTTTAAAACCCAGATCATAAGATTGTGGCTCAGATGCATGGTCAACGTCCTCTGCGTCTTCTTCCAACTGATTAACTGTATGAGCATCCTCCTTCTCCGCATCTACACCATCCCTGGCACTTGAGTCAGATGGACGTGTCTCCATAGTTCCAGTGTCTTCCTTCAAAGTTGCACTGGAATGTTCTGTCTGTCCAACTGTTAAAAGAAAAAAAAAAGAGAGAGAGAAGAAAAAAAAAATAAGTTCCCTTCTTAATTTAATGTTATATTATACTCCTATATAAAAAGTATATACTTTTTTCATTTTAATCAAACTTTCCTAGACAGGTATGTTCCACATTACCTGTGTGCCTCATCTATGTGCTACTCTTAAGCATTTGTGGGGTTTTTTTCAAAGGACTAGTTTTTGTTATAAGATTACTATGATTCCTTTCCTTCTTCATATCATTGTATGGTCTTTACAAAGTTTACTTGCAAATGCACCTTTTAAGCTCATATTATCTTATTCTCTCTCCTTCTTTTGCAGTTTTGTTGGTGTGATGCCTTTTTTTTGGGGGGGGGGGCAAAGGGAGGGAATGGAGTGTGGCTTTTTGGGTTTGGGGTTTTGTTTCTTTGTTTCTTTTTTACTTTAAGGCAAACTTAGTTCTATCCTATCATTACTGAAAGAACAGAGAGAACAATATATATAATTATTCTTGAAGTAAAGCTCAGCATCCTTTCCACACAGAGACCTCTGAAAGAAAAGAAAAAAATAATTTTAAAAGTGTGGTGACCTAAAATGCTGACAAGAAAAGTTAATTTTACAGCTCTGTCCCAAAAGAATAGTAGGATCTGAAAACACTCATGGGAAACTTCCTATTTTTCTGCAAACCTGTAACCCCCAAAGCAGTTACACTACAACACATTTGTTTTAAATATCATGGATCTTTGAATTCTCCCATATATCACATCACCACTATGGCCAGACAAGAACCTCATCTACAGCAATTCCTCATCACTTAAATCAGGCAGGTGAAACCCTACTCTCCACTGCTCACAAGGCTGTGTTTGCATTATCTCTTTCTTGAGTGCTGTTTTGAGTTTTACCTTTAGGACACTGGCAATCATCCTCTCAGTCTTGCTGGAACCATTTAAGTATTATTGCTCCCTCTAGCCATGGGCTGCCAGAGTTCATGGACTGGCATATGCATTAAACCCCCTGGAATGCAGCAGTTAAGAAGCCAGTACACATCCAGTTTAGAGCACAAAACTTCAGGCTCCCTGTGCCTCAACTAAGAAACTTTGGAGGGAAGGGGCAGGAAGGAACAAGGACACTAAGTCTTTAACTTCTCTCATTTAAACACAAAAAGAGGAGGTAAAACTGCTGTTGCCTATAATGAGAATTTTAATAATAGTAATAACTGTGTGATGAACATGCTTGATGATTAACTGGGCAACAAGTGAAGACAAAATCTATGGCATGGTCAAGACACCAAAAGACTCTTGAGCTTGAATACTGCCAGGATTTCAGTTCATGATTTCTCTTGACCCTTGATTTCGTTCAACAGGTGAAAGTGCAAGGTCATGAGTGATAGTGCTTTTCTGTCTAACCAGACTTGTTGGAATGCAAAGACAACAAAAACAAACAAATAAACAAATGTTAAACAGCAACATCTTGGGAGAAGGCATGGCCTCTTCAGTTGTACATGTGCTACTTTGATGCCCAAAGATACGCAGCACACAGCTTTCACAAGTACATGCATTACTGAATCCCCCAAAGTTATTTACTTTTAATTTGACCCATCTTTTAAGGTGGATCTAACTCTGCAGCTGGCCTGCTTTGTACAGGGGCTGGACCACCTGATTTCCAGAAATAAAGAATAAGCAAAACTAAATCTACAAGTATACTGGCTTCTAATAACTATAGAGGGCAAATTATGTTTATATTCCCTATCAGCAGCCTACTGGTTGTTGTTTCTCAGTTGACATGAGTAAAGCTTTTTATTTTTCCCTTTATCTAATAGTTTAAAATTATTTCCTTTAATTGCTAACTCCTAATTCACCTAGAAGTCTGACCTCTGATAACACCCTAAGTCTCTGAACATTTTAAAACAGAGATGTTTGAACCAAGTCATTTGTGAGGGAGTAGGGTAAGAAGAAATTGGCATTTTTCTGAGGAACCCAGGGTTATTACTCCCCTAGTAATACACCTCTTGCAAACACCAGAACATGGAGCAAAAAATAACTCACTACAAGAACACTTTAGTCAGTGAATGGAAATAAGGTTTAGGCACAGCAAGAAGAAGCAAGAACACTTTTGAACTCTCTTTTAAGATGGCTACCAAAGAAAACCTGATGTGCTTATTTTATTAACATTTTTGGGCTCTTATGAGTTAAAGATGTAGTTCGCAGCTGAGACTACACAAAGATAAAGCCAAGGAAGTACTTTTTTTTTTATCTTTCTTCATGAAATCATCAGCTATGAAATGAAACACTGATCATTTAATGTTAAATAAATATTTGTCCATGAGACATGACTCGGACAAAGGCAGAGCAAAAAATGAGGCTGAGAGCCAGTGGGAAATGCTGGGAAAGACCAGAAGCAGGAAGGCAGCTATGAAATGAAACACTGATCATTTAATGTTAAATAAATATTTGTCCATGAGACATGACTCGGACAAAGGCAGAGCAAAAAATGAGGCTGAGAGCCAGTGGGAAATGCTGGGAAAGACCAGAAGCAGGAAGGCAGCAAGAGCAGAGGAGACTTCCAAGACACTTGTGACTTGCTGTGGGCAGCTGGTGGGCAGCTAGAGATGCAGCTTTAGAAGGGTTACCCTATCCTCTTGTAAACAGACCTCTTGCATGCTTTGAAAGTAATGAGATTTAAAAATAAAAATTAAAAAATATTTGCAGCGGAGGATGCATTTCTTTTTTTTTTATTCCTGAACAGAAATTTAGTGTTTAAGAGGGGAATGATGCAGGATATGAATGAGTGAGGTATTTCCAAAGTGAGCAGTAAGATGCAAGACTAGCACACAGAGGCATCTCTTCATAGTCATGATAAACATTCAAAGGATTATAGCATATTTGAGTCATAAATTGATGTGTTCATAACACTCTAAGACATAGACTCAGTATCTGCAAAATGCTTTTTAAGTGGCAAGAGCTGAGTTACTATGAAAAAATCTGCAGGTATAGGTACGTTTTAAGATAGCAAATGCAATCCTAAAAAGAGAACAGAGTTTAGAGGCACAGTGGTAAGCTTTCACAACTGTTAAATCAGGCTGACTGTAATTAGGTGTTCCTTATGAGTCCAGCAAACAGGCTACCTTGCAATACTTCATTGAATAAAATGCAAAAGGAAAAACTAACAAAAAAGTTGACTCACTGAATACATACTTTTAATACTAGTCTGAAAAGCTGCAACTATGCTACACACATGACACTTCCATCACTCTCTCATAGCACACAGTGGGTATATTTGTGGACTTAGGTCCAGGCATGACCCTTTCAATTCCACAACAAAAAAGATTTAGCCTGTCCAGAAGGCATTTCATCCCCAATGTAACACAGAACTTACAGGTCAGCTGTTAAGTTACCTACTGCTGTTGCTCCCAGATTCTACTTTGTGCACTTTAAATCACTTCAAGAGTTTTAAACTGAATTTCTGATGCCCTTCCTCAGCATTTGAGGAGATGCCATTGAGGGAATTCACCTGCCTGTTTCCAGCTGCCAGGAGGCTGCCGCTGCTGTGCAACAAGCCTGCAGTACAATTTATATCCAAGTTGTGCTTTCTCAATATACAACCCAAAGAGCATTTTTATCTCCAGTTGGACACAACAGAAACAGAAGACACAAGAAGTCAATTATAATGCTGAACTTCATATTTAGCAATTAGATTTGTTAATGATGTTTTTATTAATGACATTCTTGGTGCCCAAACATTGTTAGCGCACTCCTGAATACAAAGCAAATCATGAATATTCCACTTGGAAAGCTCTGGAAGTTATTTACACAAGCTATTGTAGCTCAGAGTACTGTAGCATGTTATTACCACAGGTATTTTGGCCAGACAACTAGCACTTTCTGAATTAATTAATTTTAAAGCATCTTTAAAAAACACAGGAGACCTTCATCAGAATACCTACAGAAAAAAAATAATTTAAAAATCCAGTAAAACACTGCTGTGATCACAATTTCTTTACGTCTGTCATGCGCAGGGCTGCACTTCACCAGCTATGTGCTCATCAAGGAAAACAATACAATAAAAATTTATCCAGAGGTAGTGTTAAAAATCAAAGGTGGTATCATAAAAAATCGATCCACTTTGCTATTTAAATCCACTCTGGCTAAGAACTAATGCTGAAATTCTATTCTAACTGTTTACATACCAGTTAAGCTTTCAAATATTTTTAATTGAAACAAGGTGCTGCTTGTGTTTTTGTAACTGCAAGTGTTTTGTTTTATTCTGAAAGAAGCACAAGACTGGCAGTCTTAGGGAATCAAAAATGCTTGATTCCACAATTTCATAGGTAGCTTAGTCTATGGTAAAAATTTTTTTCTGTCTTATCAGAAGTATACTGATCTGTCCTGGTTTGGATGTTGGAAAACTAGTGCTTTCAGAATGACTGAATTCCTGTCTCATCCCATTTAAAAAATGAAATTAATAAATAACACTTCTCTGTCAGTAGGCTGATTGACACTGTTGGCACTGCAACTTAACTGCTCCCACCATTTCATCTGTCTCTAGAAGTGAAAATGTATTTCTCCCCTGATAGTTGCTGGAGGGCTACAAAAAGCACTCTGACTGCAAGAGTTAAATCCACAGCACTTCATATGCTCCAAGTCAACCATGTCAACATCTGGAGCTGGTTGACTTTTCCCCCTAAGGATTTGCAGCACGGCGTTGGATTTTTTCCATGAATTCCCTACATTCTCAATCTCTCAGATGGATGTCACACACACCCTGCACCCGCCTTACAAACTCCACTGGCCACCAAATGGCTTCAGAGGACTTAGTGCTGTTTTCATTTATTCAATGATTTAAGTATTTAAGACCAAATCGTGCTTTCAGTCACATACACAATACTGTCAAGTAGGTCTGCACAAGCGTAAATGAACACTGAAGCCTTAAGGCTGAAGGGGCACTTTACAATCATTTGCCTCAGTTGTATTTAGATTTGCTTTGAATATTACTTGTAAAACAACACCTACTGCTCCAATACTCACATGACACTGAAACAGGAGAAGGCAAAAAAAAAAAATAATGTGAACCAAGTGTCCACTATATACCAAGATTTTATTTGTTAAATGCAGTTTTCCCTTAACTGCACAATTTTTCTAATTATTACTAGAAGCATTTAATGACAAAAATCAAGAAAGTGTAAAATCTGGTAAAGATGGAGAAGCAGCAATTTGAAAATCAACACAGTCTGAAATTACAATAGATATGAAAAACCTGCCCTGAACAGATTTATTTAAAGTAGCTATTTGGAATTATCAGTGAAATTGGATACTTTAGCAATTAAAAAACCAGCAAGCTCTGCTTATAGGTTTTCCCTGCAGAATGTAAGAATCGGATATTATACCACAAACGCTAATTCTTTTAAACACAATTTCAAGAGGTTGGGTCTAATAAATCAAACAAACACACCACCCACTTTGCATTGACAAAATAACAGAGATATACATTCATGTGTTACCCTTCTAACAATTTTTTTTAAACTACAAGGTTTAAAGTCTCTGATACCACTGCTTGACAATGTATTTCACAAATTCTTCCTTC